AGGCTCCGCGGTCCCTGTATGAAGCAGATAGTTAAACTTACAAGTGTCAAAAGCGGCGTTAGCCCATTGCCAAATCATGGATGAAAAATCGATTGAAGTAAGAGTGAGAGTGTGAGACTTCATTGTAGGTGTAGTAAGTTGATACTCAATCAAGCATTAGACACTGTTTCTGTTAGGCCGGCAATGTAATTTGAAAATCTGAGTATTCTCTATAGTCTTGCCTACGTCACTAAATCAAACATGCAGCGTAACATTTTTTTTAGACACCCAGCATTTGCCTATTTTCATTAGTAAGAAAAAGGTTTTGTTTCTTCACAGTTAAACCTAGCAAGACAGCGATTTAGCTTACACCAGAAAGATCTGTAATTGGTGAATCAGTTAAGATAACTTGTGAATCTAGTGGTTTGCCTAAGCCACGTTATTCCATAATCCATAATGACACTGAGGTAAGTAGTGAGAGGACCTATACCATATCCAAAGTGAACTGGAGTGATGCTGGAACATATCAATGTACTGCGGAGAATGAACTTGGACGTAATTCAAAGTGCTCTTGTTTGACCGTCGTAGGTGAGATATTCAAATCACCGACTATTTATAAAACTGAAAATGCTAAAATTTAACGTCTAGTTTATCGGCATGACTTGGCATGAAACATGATTGGACTGATGGGATGAGATGTGACTACGGAATGCATATTGGAGTCCATTTTACGTGGGCTTTTCATATAGTTGTGCTCCCCATTCTTGTTAGTCCTACTTTCCGGTTACTGAACAATTGTTTTCTAGAAACCTGAGCTTTATATACATTTATATTAAATACTAGTCAAAGTACACCTTCACAAGTGCACCAGCTCAAGTACGTGGCAATAATCATTGGAATATGTACCAGTGAGGTACGACTGAAAATATTGATGCATTTCAGTTGCGAAGGGAGATAACTTTGCCTGCATAACAATATCTGCATTAACAATCACTCCGTCCTATTTTCTCTCTTCTTTCGGTTCCATTTTCGTGTCACGCAGTCATGGAATATGACGGAGTATGATTGGTTAGGAGGTTAGGGTTAAGGATGGGGATTGGGTGAGGTTTCATGATTGTGTGACATGAAAGCATAACCCTTCTTTCTGCCACTATAATTTACAAATAAAATATTTTTTAAAGAACACCGCCCTCGAATAAACTCCGCATCCAGCTTATGTAATGAGTGGCGCCCAGATACATTTAGTTTACGCCGTTTGATTTTAATGCAATATTGGTACACCATTCTTGCACCGGTTATTCAAGGTTTTTCACAAGTGTCCTATATTTACCATCATCCCACAAGACCAGCATGCCGTTGAATTTTCTAATTACCACTATAGTAAGCACTAATTATGAGAAATTTAAGTGCAAGTATCTGAAAATCAACTTTATTCAATGATCTATTATGTCCATTTACTCTTACTTCTCTGAATGCATCATGGCAACTTATAAACAGCAAAAGAATACAACTGGTTATGCATTAATATTGACAGATTTAATATCGTATCAGCACGCAACACTATCATTACTCATTAGCATCTTTTCAATTCCTTCGCACCCAGTTAAAAGTTGTTCTTGCTAATTTTCTAACTTATCAATTTTCCGAATATCTCTGTTCAGGAGAGAAAGCAGCTTCTAAGAAAGTGGATTGCGAGAACAGCACAGAAACTGTTGTAGTATGGCATATCGTGGTATCTTTGGTGTCTGGAGTTATCATTGGGCTTTTTCTTTCCCACATTGTCTCGTGTTCTCCTCGTCGCTGGTTTACAAACAGAAAACCTGAACAAAATCCTGAACCAAAGATAGCTGATGTTGATACAACTTATCAAGAGCTTGATCTTTCAAAAATGAACACAGAAGATAATTATCAATCGCTGAAAGAGAATGCTGCAAGTTATGAAGCTGGAAATCGAGCTGCAAATGACGATAACTCTACTTATACTGAGTTGAACAAAATCAGAGATGTGGAGGACAACTACCAATCTTTAACTTGAACCTGGAATATTATTTAAAGATAAAAGGTAGCCCCCTTTTCAGGCATCTCCATCGGGGTCACATGTACCAGATGGTTTAAAACCACAGAAACCAGGGTACCCTTTAGAGACGCCTGCGGATAAGGGCAGATTAAACGCCAATGGAGTATTTTTATTCAACAGTGGGCCCGAGACTGTCCCAAGATTATTTTTTATCGAATAAAAGTCGATTCTTTTCTTCTCCGGATGTAATTGGTAATGGCCGCGCTACGGATTCTTTTACGAAATAAAATTAGCTTAGGCTTGTTGGGACTTCAGCTTGTTCAGTGTGCAAAGTGCTATCGCTTTATCCAGAAAGATATTACTAGTTTGATATAAATTGAAGCATATCAAGAATTGGTCGAGTAAATTTTTGGCAAATTATTATCCCCGAGCCGACGGCGCGAAGCGCCGTGCGAGGGTACTAATTCCCCCGGCTATTTACACCCGGGGAAACGAAAGCATTAGCGGAGTCTAAAGTTCATCAAATATCGCGGGCGTGGGTGACCAACGATGGGTGGTCATC